CGATGGAATACTACACAGCCATAAAAAAGAACAAAATCATGAATTTCGCAGCAACCTGGATAGAACTAGAGTCTGTAATACTGAGTGACCTCTCACAGAAACAAAGATCTGAGTATCACATGTTCTCACTCATATAGTAGACCTTGATCCTCCAATGTATTACCATAAGAAAATGACTGATAGTGGTGGGAAACTATGGGGGGAGGGGAAGGGAGATGGGATTAATGGTAGTAAACATCTGTCTGGGAACGGGGAGACACCTTTTATCAATAAGGGTGCCTGAACGAAGCATATTTGTATACCTAACCCTTAACTGTACCCCATAATATCATAATAAAAAATATTGATTATAAAAAAAAAGGAGCCACTGTATATTGAACTCTTACTATGTGCCAAGCATTATCTAGGACATGTACATTATTAAGCAATGTAATGACTCAAGATAGTCCTGATAAGTAGATATAATTATTATCTAAAAAAAGAAGATGGTTTTGTCATTACAAAGAGGGCTACTTTGACCTGAGTGATTCTCCACATTCAGGAAGACCATCAGGCTTTGACAAAGACCGTTTAAATGCTTTAATCCATGATGATCCATGTCAGTCAACCTGAGAACTGGCAAATGTGATGAACTGTGAACAACCATTGTGTGACATTTGCATTCCATGGACAAGGGGAAAAATACTACGAGCTTATGCATCAATCCAATATTTAAAGATCTTATCCTTGACTTGGCATTGTGAAGCACATTTGGATGTTGATCGGTGTGAAAAATAGGGCATCTTCTTCTTAAATCCCCTTTTTCTGTTACTGTAGGAGATGTCAAAGCTACTTAAAGACTCCACCCTATTTTGCAAACTAAAATGTGGATAACATATGATCTCTCTAAAGGATTCTAGTACTTTCTGAGGCTATTAGAATGCTTGCATTTTCTCTACTGTTACTTACTGTAGAAAGGGGATTGTGGAATTTGAGGAAAATATCAGACATCACGGCCCCATCACACACACGCTACAAAAAGTCAGTCACCAGTGTCTTCATGTTGAACCCTAAAGCCCACCTTTTCCGAAGGGGTCCCATGACCCAGACAGGCTCACAGGACAGACCCAATGGCTCTTTTCTTTTGCACTCTAATGGATGATGTACACCCAAGGAGATATCTGCTGCAGATGTGCATTTTACCTTGAAACCTACCAGGCACATCAAGTTTCATCTCAGTGCAGTGCTGGCACTAAACAATCAACTCCGTTCTGCAGTTAAGAGGTCTATAGTGGTGCAGTCCAAGGGTCCCAGAGAAGTGTTTGTCTCCAGCCTATTTCTACCAGCACTTCTCTGCTGCTGGCTCTATGAACGAAGACAACCCCTTCCTTGCACAGCGCTGCCCAAGGGACATGGATGAGCCACACATGAGGAAGGGGCATCAGGTTTTAAAAATGTTTTTAAATAAGCCCTCTCATGCTGAAGTCAAGAGAGGCAAGACGCTTCTATTTCAAAGTATACTGAAATAGGAAGAAGAGAGAAAAGGAATTTTTTAGGATTATTACATCATTTGGGATCCAATATATGTATTTTTTAGTCAGGGTCTCACTCTGTCAACCAGGCTGGAGTATGGTGAAATGATCACGACAATCATGCTCATAGCAGCATTGACCTCCTGGGCTCAGGTTATCCTTCTTTCACCTCAGAATCCCAGGTAGCTAGGAATACAGGCACGCACCACCACACCTATCTAATTTTTTAGTTTTTGATTTTTGTAGAGACAAGATCTCTCTATGCTGCCCAGGTTGGTCTCGAACTGCTGGGCTCAAGCAATCCATCTGCTTTGGCCTCCCAAAGTGCTGGGATTACAGGTGTAAGCCACCATGTCCAGACCTAAAATCTTAATTCATCTGGAAGGATACTAGCTGTGCCCCCATAGTGGCAACGAATTCAATCTCCACTTGGGCATGGAAAGATCGTCTCCTTAGGTGGGAAGCATTCAGTGTACAGCAGTCAATGATGCCATTGATTCTAGTGCTGACACTGACTGCATCTCATCCTCTGCATTATATTAGAGCCCAGTTGCATCTGCAGAAAAATGCATACCCTCCCATGTTACCACAGTATGCAGGGTATACATCCCCGGATGTTTTAAAAGATGTTAATGAAAATGTGCTATATATACAACATGGAATACTATGCAGCCATAAAAAAGAATGAAATCATGTCCTTTGCAGCAACACGAACAGAGCTGGAGATCATCATCCTAAGTAAATTGAGTCAGAAACAGAAAATCAAACACCACATGCTCTCATTCATATGCGGGAGCTAAATGGTCACAAAGATGGAGACACCAATGAGACACTGGAGACACCAATAAGAAGGGAGAGGGAGCGGGGTTAGGGTTCAGAAACTACCTATGAGGTACAATGTTCACTATCTGGAGAACGGGCCACCTGAGACACAATCCCCACCACGACACAATATGTCCATGTAGCCAACACACATGTGCACCCCCTGAATCTAAAATAAAGATTTTTTTTAAAAGATGTTAATAAACAACACCTTTCACACACAGTTATCTAGTGAACAAGTACAAATTTAGTCATTTTAATCAATATTCTTGCAGACAAGTGAGGATATGTATATGCATATATACATATATATATCAAAATTGAGAATTTACAAATAAGATTTGATACATTTAGTCTAGCAGTGGGCAAGTCCATAGAATAAATCTCAAGTAGGATATATTTTCTTTGGCTGTGTTTTTAGTAATTCAGTTCTATTGCATACAAGGAGACCTGAAGCCTAACTTCAGCTAGTTTTGGAGAAACAAAAACGAGAAAAACAGAAAGCATGTAGCGTTCCACGAAGCAAGCACAGACTGCTTATGCTGTTCCTGGAAATACCAAAGTGTCCAAATTTTGTGCCTAAAAAGTCTGGAAATCATACTGAATCAGCTGCTGGCTGGTTTCTGATGTCTCTGGGACGTGTGTTATTACAAACAAAAGAAATGTGGAGAAGAGATGTTAACAGCAAAACTGAATCCTAGTCATAGTCCAGACCAAGAAGTGAGACTGAATTCCAGACTGAGATGACCAGAATGGCCAGTGTCCATCCTGAGGCCGTCCTGTCACCCAAAGCAGCGGGGCTGGGCATGCCGGCTGTCTTCTGCTCACAGCCCCTAGTGCAAGTGAGTCAGTGGGGCTGGGCAGGGTGAGCTTGCAGCACGATGTCCTGTGGCTACCACTTTCCTGGGATGGAGACCCCACACTCATACCAGCCCACATAGTAGTAGGGAGTTCCAAAGCCGATGTGGCCAAAGCTGACGGGCTCCTGGCGGTACTGGCGATAGTAGCCTGGAAGGGTAAGAGAGGGGAGGAGAATGCATCAGAGGTACCTGAGCCAACCAGAAGAAGTCGTATCCTTCCAACCTTCTTCAGGAGAAAGACCTCTGTCTGGTAACTTGTGCTTATGAAAGGTATGACTTCCAAATGCACAGAACCATTTTTATATAGAGTCCCGATAGCTTGTGAGGTTTACCCTAAACAGATTTGTGGGGATAATCCTGTCCCCATATGTATGTGACACAGGTGAGAAAGACTGATCATTAGTGCCCTCTCTCTGCGCCCCCCAAAGAAGACGATTTTAGTCAATGCTAATGAGCACTTAGAGGAAAGCCCTGAGCTGGGCAGATGACATCCAGCATGATTCTCACCTTGTTCTCACAGAGCTTAGGGCCTCTGACTTAATAGAATCTCAGTCCTTCAAGGCTTAAATCCTAGGACTGGGGTAGACTTTTAGATCTTTCAAGGAACTCTCTCAAGGGAAAAAATGCTGCAGCATTTCTGACCATTTATCCCTCTAACTTCCTCAAATGTTTTCTGGAAACCCAACAACTTCTCTCATTATCTTGGCCTTGTTCACTTCTACCTAATATGTGGTTGCGTGCCATTCTACCAGTGAGTGGATGTCGAACAGCCAGCACCTCTGTTCAGAGTCCGGACCAAGACCACAGTCACAGAGACACAGACGGATGCAGACACTGCACGTAATAGTTCCCCTGGGGCACTGCAAAATCCTGACAACATTCAGAAATGTGATTGATTCTGCAGACTTGTTGTGATGGTTAATTTTATGTGTCAACCGGGCAAGGCTAGATATCTGATCCAACATTACTCTAGATGTTTCTGTGAACATATTTATTAGAAGAGATTAACATTCGAATCACCAGTCTGAGTAAAGCAGATGACTTTCCCTAATGTGAGTAGGCCTCATCCTATCAGTGGAAGGCCTGAATAGAAAAGAACTGACATTTCTCAAAGTGAGGGAATTCTGCCTCCAGACTGTCTTTGGACTTGAACTGCAATGGCAGCTCTTCCTGAGGTCTCCATGTTTACAGCCTACCCTGAGACTTTGGACTTGTCAGTTTTCATAATTGCATGAGCTGATTCTTCAAAATAAATCTCTCGACCAACTGGGGGAGGGAGGGATATCCTATTGATTATATTTATCCAGATGAGGGAAACTTTACTAACATGCTTATTTTACTATTTTGTGTATTTCACTGTGTTTTAATTCTTTGAAAATGGGTAATTCATGTAGAAGCCTACATCATTTTTTCCCCTAAGATAAAAGGTTCAGGCAGATCAGAGCATCTCGTGTCCCAGAAATGCCTGATCACTTAGCTGAGTGTGTAATGACAAGGGTGCTGACACTGTCTTCAACATTCTGTTTATTTGGCTGGAGGGCTGAAGGAGTTAGTAACATGTTACAAGTCATTAACCTTCAGGATTCAAGTACTTGCCCTCACCTAACGACACCATGATCAAATTGTTCCTAGGCCACCTCCTGAAGCATGCCATGGTGGTTGGTGTGTGTGCTTATCTTTGCCTCTCCATCCTTCTGCTCATCCGTCTCCACCTGGAGGCCCTCCAATATTTGTATGTCCAGTCAGTCTTTATGACTCAGCCCAGACTCTGCCTCTGCTGAAAACTTTCCTTAAAAGCCTCAAGAAGAGGTTAGCCTCCTTTGAATTCATACAGTGACTACCCCATGCACGATTACCTGACAACAGGACAGTCATGTGACACAGCTCTTGTCATGACCTATACTTTGAGAAGCTCAACCTTAGTTACCTTTTCACATATTATTTTCTCTTCCCCTTGTGGAGCATGTTCCTGAGTGCAGGGAGAGGTCTTTCTTACATTTCTACCTTCTCAAGGCTCCCCTCATGCCCAGCACATGGCAGGAGTCTTTTGTTGATTTCTTATTTTTAGGATCCAAAGCACTCCAAATATACATCTTCAAATGGTAAATCAAAGGCAGGGCTGCAGTAAATTTTTCCCTTATGTTAACCCTCCTCTTTCACTCTCCAGTGTAATGTATCAGGCATTTATTCGCCTTACCTTGAATGGTAGGGAGGGCTTCTACATAGGACTGAGGACCTGTTCTTCCATCAAGGTGTGAATCCACAAATTGGCAATGGTCCTCACCTCTTCCCCAACTGTCTCCAATGCTGTAGAATGTATCTGCATGAAGAAATACATTGGGTCAGTGACTAGTCAAAGAACACCACAGTTGATACAGGAGTTCACACAAGCTTTGGAGATTTGTTTTTGGTTTTTTTTTCCGGTGGGGCCTCACTCTGTTTCCCAGGATGGAGTGCCATGGCACAATCATGGCTCACTGCAGGCTCCAACTCCCGGGTTCAAATGATCCTCCTGCATCAGCTGCCTGAGTAGTTGGGACTACAGGTACACACCACCACACTTGGCTAATTTTTAAATTTTCTTTTGTAGAGAGGAGGTCTCACTACGCTTCCCAGGCTGGTCTCGAACTCCTGGGCTCAAGGCATCATCCTGACTCAGCCTCCCAAAGTAGTAGGATTACAAGCAAAAGCCACTCACTGCTCCTGGCCTTTGGAGACCATTTGAATTGGGCACATTACTTAAACTGTATGTACCTTACTTTCTATGTCTAAAAATCAGCAATAATGGTATTAATCTCATAAATTCTGTAAGAATCCATCAAAATAATGTATGCTAAATACTTAACATTCAGTAAGCATTGGAAAGTACAATATTAATATTCTAGGCAACTTCAGCCTATGAATGGTATTTCTACTCTTTAGCTTAAAAAAATGGAGAAACCTATGGTAATTAGAGAATATATTATGAAATAATTATGAAAAGCATGAAGGTCTGTAAAAACAGAGAAACCTATTTGCATGCATATCAAGGAGGGAGAAGAAGCTGTCCATGGTACTGAACCACAGCTGCACAGTAGGGCCAAGTTGTGTCTCTCAGTCCTGGGATACTGGACATGACTGTGCAAAGTCTTCTAGGAATTCTGAAGTAAGGGAGGAAAAGTGTGGTGGGGAAAGAGAAAGGAAAGAGCAGAGAGAAATAAAAGAGAAAGGAAAGAGCAGAGAGAAATAAACAGACAGTGGTTGTTGGAGAGGCTTATACACAGAGAATGCCCAGGTGAGGGGCATGGGAGGGAAGACTGTTTTGACAGTCTTTCAATAATCACTGCTAGCAAGAAAAGCAAACAAAAACATGAAAAAAAAATCTGACCAGTGATAATATATAAACTAGCCAAGGGAAAGTTTTTAAAATGTATATACTAAAAAATTAAGTTTTGCAACTTTTGAAATACAAACAAATTGTGTAGATTGCTGAGTCAAAGTCAGTTGGGTAGAAATGGAATTCTGAAATGTTAGTCCAAGGTACTCATGTTTTTCTTTGTTTTCATCCCCTACCATGATGAAAATAAGTGACTTTTATTAGGACTAATAGAACTAGTGATATATATTTCACCATCTACATTTGTTTTTCTCCATAAAGTTGTGGTTGTGGTAGGGGCTGAAGGGGAAACTTTTTCCCAATCCTTCCAGCCTATACTCAAACCTATTATTATTGAATTAATGGCAAGGAAAATAGGCCTTTAAATTTCTAACAAAATTCTGGATTTCATTCCTAAGATGTAGTGTATTTCTAAAAATATACTTTTGGGTACCAATGTAAAAACTAGTATCCTCAAAGTAAAGTCTGTGAAATTGGCTTGTATTTGAGTCCAAGTAACCCATCATAGTACATTCAGGCCTCACATACATTCTGATGTATTCACGGTACCAAGTTAGTACCTGATAAAATAAGAATTGTCCATACCTTTCATAGCCAACCATCCTCAAAGACCTACCTTTCAGGTTGTCACTGAGGTAGATCTTATACCTCAGTGAATTACAAAGAACGACTCCCACAAACTTTCGATACCATGTCCGCTTCACATATTGCCGGCCATGGCAGTCCGTGTAGCCAGGATCGTGCTTGAAAGCAAATGGGATCCAGATGGGCTCACCCCCTTGACAACACAAAACATACCCACTGAGGTACGGAGCTCCACAGTATTCATTCTCACACAAAGCACCAGGAAACCGGTCCCCTTCCTGTAGGCCTTTTCTGAGCAAAATGCTCCTACCCTCTTTATCTTTCTCAGTCTTTTTTAGGACTATAGTATACTTGTGAGGGGGTGCTCTTTTCACCTGAACATATTTAAAGTATTTGCATGTCAATAAGGGACTCTCAGAATTAACAAAAGCCTTTAAACTGCAAGGAAAACAAGCAGTAGTGACAGGTTTGATGTTGGGGGCTTGCCATCCTATCCCCAATTCCCTCAGCATAGACTCCTCCTCTTCTTGTCACTCCTAAGACTTGGCCTTGCACTTAAGCAACAGGGCTTTCTCAGTTTGAAAAACAAAGTAAACTTCGTTGCACACTTAATGCATTTTGCTATCCTTTTGACAATTTAAAATACTCTAAGGGGTTATGTAAAGTGTCTCTACTTTACAGATAATGGCTATCCCATAATGGTCTTTCATAGATACTCACTGCACTGGTCCTATTTAAAAATTCCCAGGTCATTCTTTTTTATAGATCAGAATAAAGAATGCAGGGGAACCATAGAAGTTGTCGGAAAATTATGAAAATGCAAAAATGGTTCAGCATTTCTACTTGTGAGTAATCTTAGCAATCTCATATTCAATATTTATCTTGATTACCAGAATGTCAAGATCACCAAGAAGAGAAACTTACCTGGTGGCCTCACGACAAGCAGAGGATTGTCTGTAGAATGAGAAAAAAAATAATAGACTTCATATTATATTTCACAAACATGCAATTATTGGAATGGTTATTATAACTGAAAGAGCTAACCAAACTGAAATAAAAGACAAAAATAAGGTTTACTTCATAGATGCCAAAGTCTTTCCTTAGTTTTTATTTTCTAAACATGTCTGAGAAATACTTTTTTCTAGCTATAGTGTCTTGTTATTTACCTAGAAGCTGTGAGTTTGAAAATAATACGGTTTTGATATTGGGTACTGCAAAATAATATTCATTTTTTAAAGTCTACCTTTAGAAAACAATTTGGTGGGTTTCTTATAAAGATGATCTATCCATTCCCCTCTCAGGTATTTATCCAACAGAAATGAAAACATAGGTCCACACAAACACGTATACATAAATATTACAGCATCTTTGTTTGTAATAGCCCCAAAGTAGAAACAACCCAAATGTTTATTAACAGGTGACTGGATTGAATAAGCAAATTATGGCACAGCTATACAATAAAATACTGCTCAGTAATTTAAAAAATGAACTATTGATGCACACAAGAGTAGGAGTGACTCTCAACATGATTATGCTAAGTGAAAGAAGCCAGTCAAAGGAGTTCATATTGTATGATTCCACTTATATAAAAATCTAGGAAGTACATACTAATTAATAGAGGAATGGCTCTAAATCAGAGGGAAGAGGGGCCTTTTGGGGGTTGAAAAGGCTGAAGCAGCAGAAGGAAATTGGTAGGGGTGATGGCGATGCTCACTATCTTGACAATGGTGATGGCTTCATGGGTATAAACACACCTCGGTGTTTATTAAGGTGTATACTTTAATATGTGCAGCTTATTGTATGCCACTGACACCTTGACAAAGGTCTTTAAAACATGTATCCCAAATAATGCCATTTAAGAGAATGTGAAACTAGCTTTTTAAGGAATCCTGCTTTAGAAAAAGTTCATTCTTATAAAATGCCATGGATTAGGTAAATCTGGACCAGTCTTTCTTTCTACTTTTGAAAAATTATCATGTAGTTTTTTGCTCTTCTGGGTATATATCCTGTGAATATTAACAGCTGCATAGATTCATGGAACCCTAACATGGTCAGCACGCAGAATATCTCCATTACCCCAAATCTCCCTTGCACTGCCCTTTGAACAGGTCATTCATTTTCAGTTCATCCGTCACCCTCAAAATAGAGGGACATCCCATAGCTATGAGTGTAAAGTGCTGGCTTTGGTCTCCTGCTATGAACTGAAGTCAAATAATCTGCTGAAAAAGTCCACAGTACTCCTGGGCAGGGTGGAAGAAAACAATACAAAACAACAACAGCACAAGCAATAAGACCTGACCTGGTGGCACAGTCTCTGTTATTCACCTACATTTACTTTATATATTAATTTTTCGATTGTTTTGTTTGGCAAATGTCATCATTCAACTACTTGAGAATTTTCCTGTTGCCTAACTCACTACTTTCAGCAGGTAGCATAAAATGAAGAGGAGACTTGGTTGAACAGAATGAAAATAATCAAAGAAAATAACTGTCCAATTTCTGTGAGTCAGGTTCTCCTGGGAGCTCGCTAAGAGTGAGTTTCCTAGAGAGATTCTCATTCAGAGGCAAGGTAGGGCCTTGGCTTTCCAGATCATGAAGGAGGAGCTGGGAACTTTTCTTGGGAAAAGGGTAGAAGACAGCTGTCTTTTCAAAAGTTTACACTGTAGTCCCAGAAATTACATGGAAATCATTTCTACTCTCAGATAGATTTCAGATCTGAGTTTCTTGATAGTTTTTTGAATTTGAATTTTTTTCTATAGACCTATAACATCTAATTCCAATAGCTGCCAGAGGTCTACTTTGTTAGGAAACGTAGCCATAAACACAAACACATTCTTTGCTTTAGTAAATTAATTACTGATAACAGTTTTCTCTTGCTTTTTTTTTTTTTTTTTTTACTTTTTTCTTTCTCTTTTCCTTTTTTTTTTTTTTTTGAGTTGGCATCTCACTCTGTCATTCAGGCTAGAGTGCAGTGGCACAATCACAATTTACTGTAGCCTCAACCTCCAATTTACTTCTGCCTCAGACTCCTGAGGAGCTAGGAATACGGGTATGCACCACCACGCCCAGCTAATTTTTTTATTTTTTATAGAGATGAGGTATCGCTATGTGGCCCAGGCTGCTCTTGAACTCCAGTCTCAAGCAGTCCCCCTGCTTCAGCCTCCTAAAGTACAGGCGTGAGCCACTGAGCCCTGCCATTGCTCTTTCTTAATTACTAACAGAAACACATTTCCTAAGTAAAATAGATTTAAACACCTTCGTGGTCCTTTGCCTGCATTTCTAGTTTAAAGCATATGCTCAAGAAAGGTCTGGTTTTATCCAAGTATTTTGATTCAGTAGATTTTAAATTATTATATTTAAAAAACATCTTCTAATGACAGGTTTTCTGGGATCAGGCTACATGTAGGAAGCAGTCTAGCCAAATGGAAGCTAGAGTCATCTGGGTGCAGAGCTGGCTCAGCTGGGTTGGTCTGAACCCAGCTTGGCTTCCTGTACGGAAAAGTCACTAATCCAAAGTCAGTGGGCTGACTTTGCGTATACTGCCTCAGGCCACGGGCCACAGGCCACAGGAACATGATAGCGAAGGGCCTGAGAGCTCCGCCCACCAGCACTCCAAAATGCAAGGGCATGCTCTGAGTGACATTGCTTGTAAGACTGAACAATAGTTTAATAAACCCTCAATAATAGGTAAAGATAGCTCTGTCTCTTAGAGACCTGGGGGCATCTTAGAGACTTGGCTCATTGGAGAAGTAACTTTCTCTCAGGCCATGACATGCATGCTCTTCAGTTGTTTGCAGTAATTTTTTTTTAACTCTGCAACTAAATTTTGTACAGATAGATTCAAACTTATCTTTCCGATGTGCCTAAAAACTGGACCTTTTCCTTTCTTGGTATTTGACCTTTCTGTTTCTCAGAGAGCCAGTGAAGACTACTTTAAATTTTATTATCCAAGTTTTAACCTAGCACAAGGAAAATGATGTTTATTTTATAAAGAGTTAGCCAATGTGAGCTCATTAAGTAGTGAAGTAAGGATTTTACCCTCTACATTTTTACTCTATTATAGTCACTATTCTAGATTCTTTATTTCATTTAAACAAATACGAATATGAAGTCTCTCGTACCTGATTCTGTAACAAACGAGACCGAAGGGCTGACAGGTCCATAGCCATGAGGATTTTTGGCTTGAACTTTAAAATAATACCTGAAATTGGAAGAGAACATCTTTTGAAAAAGAAATTTATTTCACTTCTGTGTAATAAAATGGATTCCCAAACTACTGAGCACCTACTTTATGGCAGGCTTTGAGACCTAATTTTTCCACACGAGTACATGACTAGTGGTTCTGTATGTTCCTTCTGAAATTTCTCATTTCTGAATAACTTTTCTAAATAATTTAATCAACACAGCATAAAAACATGGGAACAGAAGGGACGTGTTAGACACATAGGTTATGTGGAGAGCAAGCGGTCCTTACAGCATCAGGAGGGCCCTGCCCTGTGTGGGTATCCTTAGCTCATTCCCAATGCGATGCCCCCTTCTGATCCTGCTCTCATTCCAGCTTAAGACCTAGGCCCCAGCTTGAGTTTCATAGTCCAAGAGGGAGTTGGAACAGCAAAACACTATAGGACAGAATTCAAACTGTAACCTAATCCTATTACTGGAGTCCATGTAGAGGAGTGGATGTCTGACCCAGCAACAGTACAATTCATGGTTGGCAGAGAGTAAACCAGACCAGTGGCTGGCCTCTCTCAGGGAACTAACATGACAACGACCTCTTGGGCACACAAGAAGTGCTATGGTTAGCTGTGCAGCCAGGAATGAACTGGCTTAAATGTCACTGAATCTCGAGCTTAAGAACCTCAAGAAAAGAAAAGAAAAGCAGGTCCAGGAAGGGGAAGGGGAAAAGGCATGAAGAGAAAGGCTTTGCTGTAGAGTTAAACTTTGTCGTGAAACACAGAATGTGCTAGAAAGCATGAATGTGCTAGGAGTCACCTCGATCATCCAAAGGAAGACCGAGTCTCAACAAAGCAATTTAATTGCACTCATGTAAGCTAAAAGACAAAGAGTGGTGGTAATTTTTTTGAATCACCATACTGTGGCCCACTGTATCTGTTCTTAATCTTCATGGTTTCCTCACTTCTGAGATTCCAGACATTTTATATGCTCTTTTAATGCATAGCTACTTAAAGGTGAAGGGGACTAAAAAATCCCTGTGAGTGGTGACTATGCACTAATTAAAATGCACCAAATTTTTAAAAGGTGAATTATTTACATTCAGAGAGCAAAGGGTTATGCCTACTGCACCAACAGCCCTGGCACCAATCTCCTGAGCTGTGAGATCATCAAGGCAACCTCTGGTCTTATGGTACAGAGATATTTGACTTTGGGTTTGATTAAACAGAAAGCAAAGAAAAGCCACTGGACACAATTAGTCTTAAGTCGTTCACATCTCATTTAGGATTCTTTTTTTAAACATTTCAACTTAAATAAAAAGATATGCACAATTAAGAACATATGAGCTTCCAAATCTCAATTCACTCAGCAGTTCGTGTTTCCCCAGTTACACATACTTTTATTCAGTGGGTGTACAGTTATTTAAGGCAAAACTCTACAGGCAGTTCAAGTCATGGATTTGGCTTTGACCGTGATCCTGGTCAAACTTTACAGATATTTTTTTTTCCTTAAAAAGGAAAATCTAAACATAAGAGCCGGGTGCTCACACCTGTAATCCCAGTACTTTGAGAGACTAAGGCAAGAGGATCATTTGAGGCCAGGAGTTTGAGACTAGCCTGGGTAACAAAGCGGGACCCTGTCTCTACAAAAAAATAGAAAAATTAGCCAGGTATGGTGATGCATGCTTGTAGTCCAGCCACTTGGGAAGCTGAGGTAGGAGGATCACTTGAGCCAAGAGCCACTGCATTCCAGCTCTGTGACAGTGAGACTCTGTCTAAACAATAATAACAATAAACAAAAAATAACTAAGAAAGAACCCATATTCAAGGCCTAACCTGTGACACTTCTGCTGAACAATCCTCATGCCATTGCTGGAGCCATTCTAACCTCCAGGTTGAGAGACTCTGTACAGATTGAGCTATGTGTAGGGGTTTTGTTTTACCCCGAACCCTAAGTTTCCCCCAAATCTACCTTCCTTGTTGATACAATGATTCCAGTCTTCCAGAAACTCACATGTGCCAATTCCAAAGACACAGTCCCCAAATGAACCTCACCTAGTGTGTCAAAGTACATTTAAATATGCTGAACTGAAAAACAATATGAGATTATGAAAAAAGGAAAATCCCCATTTTCAAAAACCACATGAAAATCTTTCTATGGACTAAAATATGTATTTCATACTCTGAATAGACTCTGCCTCATCCAAGTAATAAAAGCAGTCCATGCCCAGCTTCTTGTATAAGCTTCTGGCACGTTCTCTTGAATTGCGTCAATCGTGACAAATCTTTGTACTTTAAGTATGGATTTAAAATATGCGGACTCCAAAGAGTGATTTGGGGCTCAGTTTGGTGAATAAGGTAAATAGTTCCCACTTAAGGTTAAAAGCAGGATCCAATTATAAATAACCAAAGCTCACTTTTATGCTCTGGCCCTCTTTTGAATAGACCCACTTCCTGTCTCCCTTACACAGACTCAGAAGCTAGTTTCCCAAGAGAGGCCCTTCAGGGGCATAAGGACAGAAAGGACCGAAGTAAGTCCACCAGAGACGCTCTGCATTCCAGTGACACAGGAAAAATGAGTGTCCTTTCATCACATCTGCACTTTCCTAGCTATCACAATTTAGCAGATGTTCAGAAGGTTTTGAGGAAGTGTGTGTAGGAGATGCCACAAAATGCTACCTCTGGGCCTGCACTTTCCACTGAAGAGCAAATAAGCAGGTGGGTACCATGGGGTTGAGGACAGAACAGTTGCTGCTCTTGTCTATCCATCAGGGTGAGTGTATGTGTAGGGGGGACCCAAGGGACTCTGGCACTGATCTATTCCGCCTCCCCTCCCCTCACTCCAAATTGGCCTCCTCTGCTTCCAAGAACACATCCTTCTTTGGGGCATTCTCTCTGCCTGGAGCAATTTTGCCTCACTGCTCCCAACTGCTCTCCAGGTTAACCACTTCTTATGTTTTAGATCTCACTTCCCCAGGAAAGCTTGCCTGACTGCCTTCTCTACCTCCAAGTTCAGGAAAAAAAAAATCCCCATTACATACTCTCAAAGTCTAGTGTACTTCTCCTTCAAGACACAGGTCAGTGGAGATTTATATTTATTTATTTATTTTAATCTGTCACCCCGACCAGACTGTAAGTCCCTTGAGGATTTGACCTGGCATATTTTCCCCACCCCAGATGTTCCACTCCCAGTGTGTGATGTGGTGCCTGGCGCTTAGTAAGCACCCAGCTAAGTATTTATTGAATGAATCGTGGACACACACTGATACCTATTGAAAGAATAAGCAGACTATCATCCCACATAGCCATCTCCTGACATTATTAAATACTCAAAATGAGCCTGGCAGCAAAAACTGTGGAAAGAACAGAGGAATAGGAGAAGCAGGAGGTAGCAGTTGCAATTCTATTGCAAGTAGCTCTGTGACGAAACCTGTCGAGGGCATCTTTCACCTTTTGTGCTATAAAAGCATTGTCACTGCCTGGGGAAGGGGGGCACACCTCATCAACAAGGGTACCTGCACAATGAATATTTATATACCTAACCCTGAAGTGTATCCCACAATTTTAAAATAAAAAAATTTAAAAGTTAAAGAAAATAAAAATAAAAAAATGATGTTGACCCCATTTTCTCTAATTTTGTTGTTTTTGGTTTTTTATAATTGATTAAAAAATTAATCAAGACTGGGTGCAGTGGGTCACACCTATAATCCCAGCACTTTGGGAAGCCGAGGTGAGAGAATTGCCTGAGCTTGTGGGTTTGAGACCAGCCTGGGCAGCTTGGCGAGACCTACCTCATCTCTACAATAAATCAAAAAAGTAGCCGAGTGTGGTGGCATGTGCCTGTAGTTCCAGCTATTTGGAAAGCTGAAGCAGAAGGTTCATCTGAGCCCAGCAAGTCAAGGTTGTGGTGGCTGTGAGCATGCCATTGCACTCAAGCCTGGACGACAGAGTGAGACTCCAACTCAACAAAAAGTTAATCAATATTTCATTAATATTGGGAAACATTAAGAAAAGTTTTTCTCAGTTCCTTGTTTTACTACTTGATTTTTATTTGCCAAATCCTGAAATTCATAGAAGTTTATAAAAGCTCAGTTTAAGTGAGCTGAAATAGCATGTCAGAACGCACTGAGGAAAATTCTCAGCTTGTCTTTCCACACCCATGGCTACTGTTCAGATTCTACCCCCTGTACCTCGTGCCTGTTCAATGAGAGCTTTTTGTTCCAATCTTCTGCCTGTGTAGAAAAACAAGAGGCCTCAAGTGAACCAGTACATCACTCTGCATTCTTTGCTAAGTGGATATGGCAGCTTGACACAGCAGCAGTGTGCTAGAGCCATCTGTGAGGGTTTGTGAGCGCCATCATTAAAAATTCAGGAATCCCGCAAGCCCTGTTGGCTTGAACCTAGCCACAGAGGAAGCATGTATGCTGCAGAAATTGGAAAATGCTATCAACCAGAGAATATTTTTCCAGAGAGTCCTTTTCCCAGCACAGCTTGAACATCATGTACTTGATGCTTCGTGCATGGTCACCCACCAGGGAAGGTTTCTGATGGCCATTATCATCAAAACCAGACACTATAAAAGAGGAACAGTCTCTTTCCCTCTTCAAATCTCTGGGAACTACTTTTGCCTATTTCACACACCGAGAGCCATAAACTCTGGCTTCCAGAATGGTGTTCTGGTCAGCCATTCTCCAATTTATGAAAACATATCTATAACCCTTATTAATGTGCAAAATGCATTGACTCATGTCTTTCTAGTAACTTCTGTCTCCCTAAAATTTAAAAAACAAACTGTAACCTGACCACCTCAGATACATGGTCTCTGAACTTCTTATGCCTGTACTCTAGAATATATTGGCTCAAAATAAACCTCATATTGGCTCAAAATAAACCTCTTTAAGTATATTTTTAAATTAACTTGTAAATGTATCTTTCTTGAGTGGTCTGAACTTCTACATCATAGAATTTGAGTGTCAGTTAATTAAAATATTTACCATTTTAATACTCCATCGGTGTCACATATGAATGTTACACTGCCTAATGCCACCACATTGGTGACTAAAAATGGACCAATTTTCTTTCAAAACACAGAACAACTTTTCTTTCCCTAATGGTAAGTAGTGTTTAGGGAAGTAGGGAGTAAAATATAAACATAATAACATAACAATTACAATATATGTAGTAATTTCTCCTAAGAAAAATATATAACATATGGTAAGCAATCACTTGACATTTTATGATTACCATTTAGGAATTCAAAGAAATCCTAAAACCATTTTGATTAATCCTTTCATTTTCAACCAAAGGATATCTGTGACCATGTACATATAGATTCTCTCTCTCTCACTCTCTTTTTTTTTAATTAAAGAAAAGGATCTTTCTCTGTTGCCCAGGGTCACTGCAGTCTTGAACTCCTGGGCTCAAGTGATCCTTCTACCTCAGCCTCCCAAGTAGCTGGCAATGCCACCACACCCAGCCAATTTTTAAATTTTTTTGTAGCGAAAGGGTCTCACTATATTGCCCATGCTGGTCTCAAACTCCTGACCTCAAGTGATCCTCACATTTGGCCTCCCAAAGTGCTGGGATTGCATGAGAGAGCCATCTCACTCAGCCTCATTTTTTTGTTTCTAAATAACTGATCCTACCTTGTGTTTGGCTTCAGGTTCTCAATGGGCAAATGAGTTACTGAAGAAGCTTGAGTGGACCACTTGTTCCTGATGAAGTCTTCATAGGAGGCACTATAAACCAAGTAGCCTGAAAATGGAAACAGGGAAGCATCAATGAGATCAATGAACATAGGAAACCAAGTCCCACAAAAGGTGAGAACTTCAGGAAGGAGAGCAAGCAGCCCTGTGGGTCAGCCTGGGATACAGTGCTGATAACTTCTGAGTCCAGACGCAGCCAACAAAATCAAGATATTTCCTCATGACCTGTTGGTTCCCTGCTTCTCTTCCTCATTCCCTGGCTTCCCCTCTCCTCAGAACTAATCACATCTAGTCCTGACTGCAAAGAGAAAATGAAGCGGAGGAAAAAAGCAGTGACCTACACACACACATTCAAGGATTTCCTGGTAAAGATACAATACAATTATCCTTCTCAGGAAATAAAGAATGCTGATGGTGAACACTGGGCATGTGTATGGCTGAAAGTCTCCAGACCCCAGGGATCCCTCACCCCTTTGGTGAAAGCTGTCCTTTGATTTCTCCTTGTTGAATATCTGTGCCTGCCCCTACCCTTACTATCTAATGACAGCAATCAGGCAGCTCTTCTTCCTGTAGTTCAACCTGCTCTGTCTTTTTGCTAATATCAGACCTTACAGGTGCACCCTTGACCATGACATCTGCTCAGCCTTCAAAGCTGTTTCATACAGCTTTGAAGATCATACCACAGCTTGGGGTATCCTTTATCCTATGTCTCTTGGGTGTACACAGAGGAAGAAAACATTTGTCAAGCACTTCCTATTTGCCAAACATTATGCTAAGCACTTTTGCTTTTTATTTTGATTAAATCTCACCAACCTAGTTTTTAGGTATTGATATCCCCATTGTGACACATGAGGAAACTGAATTTTAGAGAGAGATTAAATATCTTGTCTAAGTTCACCTTCATTGATTCATTAAATAAGTATTTATTGTGCGATGACTGTTCACCAGACACTGTACAAAGTGCTGGAGACAAAGTGGTGACTAAGAACTCAAGGAGCAGCAGAGTGCACAAACAGAATTACATAGCTATGATCAGTGCTCTGAAGACTAGTCCACTATAGTGCTTCAAGGGAGTGTGTAGGGTGAGCTGACCCACGATGGAGGGCACAAAGAGCTTCCCTGGGGTCACAAAAATGGAGTTGGCATCTGAAGGATGAGAAGCAGGTAAAGTGTGTAGTAGGAGGTAGGAAGGAATCCAGATAGAGGGAATCCCTGGACAAGATGTTGAAGAGATAGGAGCCAGGAGAAGGCAGTGTTGGCTGGACCTGGGAGTGGCAGGATGAAGGTGGCATGAGCTGAGGCTGACATGCTGGGCTTTTGTTTTGCATTCCAAACGAAAGGGAAAGACATGAAAGGGGGTGACACAATCAGGTGTGTGTTTTCAATGCATCTCTCCCATGTAGAGTGGAGGATGGATTGGCTGTGGCGTGCAGGTATGGATGGAGACAGTCTAATTAGACGAGAAGCTCTTGCAGTGGCCTGGTGAGATGGCAATAGCTTAGATTAGCATGGTAGTTAATGGGAAGAAATGGATGGTTTCAAGAGAAATTCGAAGGTAACACTGACAAGATTTAATGATAAATTGAATATGGAGGTGATTTAAAAGGAGATTTGAAGATGATTTCAAAGCTTCAGGTTTGAATAAATATGTGGACAGTGGGGCAATTCTGAGACACGAACACAGATGAGGGCCAAGTTTGAGGATCAGAAGGATCATGAGTTTGGTTTTTTATACACTGAGTCTGAGATGCTTTGGAGACATCCCAGTGATGACATCAAGTGATTGTACTGTATGCATCTGATTTTACTGTTTGAGGTTCAGAAGAGAGAAAGGCCTGGCCTTGAGCTATAAATCATGACTCACTCCAAGAGGAATTAAAACCATATGACTGGATGAGACTGTGGGAAGAGAAGATAGAGCAAGAAGCAAAGAGGACCCAGGACCAAGCCTTGAGAAATCCCACCATTTAACACTGGAGTTGAAGAGAACGAGTCTGCAAAGAGATGCAAAGATTGAGGCAACTGGATCATACAAGTCAAGGGGCAGGAAAAAATCAGAAGTATCAAATGCATCTAAGGTGAACTTTACTTTATTGAGCATCCTATGATCACTGATTAGGGCTGCACAGCTAACAAATGGGCAGACTAGACCCAGAAGCCAGGCGAACTGGGCTCTGGAGTCCTTTCCACACTGTTCCCTGGAGGAGAGTCATCTTTCTGTTTTTCAATAAATATTTTGTGAGGTGTTACCACTTCTTCCATGGGATCCCTCCTCCTCTGACACAGTAAGTCAAGCCCTGCATGCTTATAGTGGTGCCGCACATAGCAATGGCCCACCCAGTGGTGGATGGAGGTCACAACTGTGCCACAGAAACCTGGCTTTGCTGGGTGTAGCATAGCTTGGGCTCTTTAACCTCTGACTTCCATCAGAACCTTGCACTTTCCATGTCAGTTGTTGGTTTCTCAGTCGACTTCTGCCTGGATTTTGAGGGCTTTGGGGTTTTGATAATGTGCTTGCTAAGTACAGTGTAACTCCTGATTTCTCTGTTGTTTGCATCAAACCCAGTCCTGAAAGACTGACTGAGAAGCTGGTCCTGAAAGACCAGGAGGCCACCACATTGGTGTTTCCCCATGGAATCACTCTTGATGCAGTGATCTAAATTTAATTCAACCAAGTGACCCAGGAAAGCAACAGGTTACAAGCAAGAAGTTCAGGAGTTTCATATTGTTTAGATACTACCTTGTTACACACTGACATCACTGCTTGTGAAAGAAAGAATGGCAAGTGAAAATAAGCAGAACACCTACATCCATATAGTCAGCAGAATTCAAACACCTGGAGCAGGTGCCGATAATGTGATATTCTGTCTAGGCGTAGGATGAATCCACACATCCACTTGGCTTACTTGTTCTGCAGGTGAGAGACAGTGCTTGGCTCACTTACTAAAGAAGGGTTTCTGCTATGATCGCTCTGAGACTTGAGTTGGTGCTTTCCTTCCATACTACAGGACCATCATGGGCTGAAATATTTCATGGAAATTGGCTTGACAGGAATTGGCACAACTTTATATTGGAAGTGCCTTGTAAATACTTCATCCCTATTATTTATGCTAGTGTCATGAGGACTCTTGATGAGGGCTCTGAGGTTTTATTTCAGATGAGGTGTAGGGTACGTGAGGACATGAGGACCATGAAGTCTCTAGGGAGCTCTGGACAGCTTGGAATGCATGACCAATGGCCAAAAGTAGCAGAGCACAAGTGTTTCAGAAGCCCAACCTCTACAGCATCATACAGAAATCGTGTCTGAAGTAAGTCTCAGAGACATTTGTTGGGAGTTCCCTGAAGGCTCTTTCTTCATTGCAAGAACAAGAGCCCTTGAGGCATATTAAATGTGGCCAATGCTATCATCCTGTTGCCTGTGTTTCCTAGAGCGTCGTGATATATTTATATTGAGTAGCACCTTTTATGCAAAAGATCAAAAGTTAAATAGCTTAAAGTAGATTTTCAATTATTTTTTTTTTTCAGTGTGCTTTCTTGCTTTCTTTAAAAAAAAATTGCTATTCTTAAAAGTATATTCAATTAACGAAAAGATTTTCTGGCTGTTTTCATTTCAAGTTTTCTTCCTTCCCTTAACTTATTTGCATGCTAGTAGGAACATACTGGACTTCACAGAAATTAGCCTCAGCAACCGTGCAGCACATGCCCTGGAGTGGCCACTACTTACACCAAAGACTCAACTCTCCTCAACTTCTACGTTCTCCCTATGCCATTAGGCCCTTCAGTCTCACCTGGAAGGATACCCCGGGCATTCTTTCCTATGCCCTTATCCTGGATTTTGGGTTGCTGTGTAAATTCCATAAGAGAAGCTACCCTTTGGATATTCTTGAACATGTTTTCTAATTTTAAGAGATAATATTGTGGACACACACCAAAAGCATGAGAAATTTTGAATTATATGGACTCTACTAGCATAACAGTGACAGATAATGTCCAACTCCTGTCTCTGATGCCACTGCCACCCCACAACCCAAGACATAAACACAGTCACATCCATATTCCACCCTCGTATATAACCTACAGACCCACAAGGAATCATTTGCAAAGAAAGGGACTATCAAAATAAAATACCAATTCTCTTACTGTAAGAACTTATTTCAAGATTTATCCTCAAATACATCCTTGGCGGAGACACATAAACTCACCGAAATCCCAAAGGCCAAGACCTAGGAGGATCAAGATTCTTGGGTATTTTTTAAGTACATCTAATTCCCACATAAGAAATCAGGAAGGACCTGGACTGGTTTGGAAGTACCCAGCAATCATAGAAGGAGAGAAAGGGGCAGAGGCAGGATCCCAGGACTGTCTCTAACACGGGGTAGCTGGGCAGCATATCACCCTCGCTGCAGGAGCTGATCTTCCACGGGGCAACCTGGACTCCCTGGCCACTTGCAGGGTGACAGTATGTTAAAGATGGAACAATATTTTGCATATGAGGAAGCCAAGGTCCAGAAAGGTGAAGTACCTAGCTCAAGGTCATGCAAATCAATCCGGGACGAGGATTCAGGATTTCTGACTTCCATCCAGTACTCTTTATGCTACTGAGGCATCCATGCTGCCTATATTTCATCCTGTTAAAGGAAGACCCTTGCATATATCCACTCTACCCCTCCATGCATGCCTGCATCCATCCACTCATTCTTCCATAGCATATTGTCTGGATATGCCACCTACCCATCATGGCAGCCATCGGTCTAGAACATACCTGTTACCACATCTCCTGGGGTGGCTTTGTCCCAGTCCACAATGACAAACGAGTGGCAGCCTTCCACGGCGACCACAGTGATGTTGCGGGGAGCATGCTGAGGAGGCTGGTCACTCTTCCTCAGGTCATTTGGGATGATTTCATCCAGGCTGTCCACTTGGAAGTGATCCAGAGCATCGGTCAGAGAGCATGGGGCTGAGGGGTCTTTATTTAGGTATGTCACGTAAGGAGCTGAAAAAGAACAGAGACACCCAGTCAGATTGCTGAAGACTTTCTCTGGAGACAGAAACACAGCATCTGCTCCATGGAGCAGAGCATTTAGTTTCTCCTGCCAGACAGAGGCTCCAAAGCACTGGCCCTGATGCCAAGCTCAAAAGCACATCCCTGGCTCTCCTAGTGGGTTCATGTGTTTGGATCTTTTGATCGACGTTGCCTCATCAACATTGATGACTACGCCCTCAAGGAGATTTTGAAAGGTCTCCAAGCTCTCATCAAATGGAATGGAAGCCTGCCATGCTCTGCCATCCCTCTGCGCATCCCTAGAAAAGTGTGAGTCAGGTCCACCTTCCACTTAACTAGTATTTCCTCAACACAGTTCATTTCCTTGATGATCTTGGGACTTCCCCCCAAAAACGTACACTGATCAAGATGTACAGCCTCTCACCTCAGCCCTGGTGGCCTTCCCCAGAGTTTCATAAACCCCACACTCATCTGGAGTATCTGTTTGTAAGGCTAGGCTTACAGGCATCTACATCACTGCTCAGTATAATAGCTACTCACATTTATGGACAGATTGAAACTTTTCCTTTTTTTTTTGAGTCAGGGTCTCACTCTGTCACCCAGACTGCAGTGCAGTGGCACAATCGTGGCTCAGCACAGCTTCAACCTCCTGGGTTCTGGCGATCCTTCTGCCTCAGCCTCACAAGTAGCTAGGACTACAGGCGTGTACCACCACATTTGGCTAATTTTTATTAATTTTTGTAGCAATGGGGCCTTGCTATTTTGCCCAGGCTAGTCTTGAACTCCCGGGCTCAAGTGATCCTCTCACCTCAGTCTCCCAAAGTACTGGGATTACAGATATGAGCCACTGCACCTGGCCAGGTTGAAGCTTTTTCTATTACACACATTATTTCAGTAGATACAAGGTCCTAGGAGTAAGGCAGGACATGGACCAACGTCCCCATGTTACCGCTGAGCCTAAAATGCTGAGAGTACCCACTAAGTCAGGGTCTGACATGAGATACTCCACCTTCAGCCCTCAGCACTCTTTATCCTACTCTACTTTCTAAGAAGAAAAAAAAATGCCAAGGAACAGAGGTTGGAACTTTATACATGCAAGATTCTCAAGTGATCTCAAGTAGCAATGTCTAGCGATTTCTAAAGGGTCCATTGCATCTTTCGATGCTAAGTTCACATTCTCAGTGGCTGTCAGGACTGAAAGCAATTTTTAGCTCCTTTGTGTTCCAGTAACTAGTCTGAAATTAGGCCTTTAGGACTTGTCCATGGATCTTATCAGGAGGTTTTGAGGAGTAGGTTATTATGTTTTTTTAGAGTTGTAGACTTATGAGAATAGCCAGACAATAGTAAGCCTTTCAGTGTTTAGAAGAGTTCTGTGGAAAAGCTAATAATAGCACTAAAAGCATTTCAATTCTTGTCATGGAACTGTAGAGAGAAAGTCAGAGGACTTGGTAAATTCAGCCAGGAAGCCAGATGCCATGGGCCAGCATTAGCATTTGCCTCAGGAATGCTACCTGAAATGAATACTCTTGTTCTTCAAGTACGCGTGGGTCTTCAAGTACGCGTGGTTTAGACACCCAGTCACCACATCTTGGCTCGCAAGAGTTGTTCTTTGCTCATGGCAGAACATTTATTTTGGAAACAGAAGAGTGTGATATTAGTTTAAGCTGTCGCTTGTCTCCACTTAGTAACTGTCTCATTAATGAAGTTCATTAAGGGCATGGGAAACATATTTGCAAGACTTGCAAAGAGAATGAAACACAGTTTAGTTACCTAGAGTTTCCTGTTGAAATTGGTTTTAATTACTGAGAAAGAAGAGTAAAATAAATTTCTAGATCCCCAATCCTTGAGGCGAATGGAAATTATAGAGCATAACTAAAGGAAAAACTTTGGCTCTGTGATACTGTAAGTGCTAGTGGCTCAATTCAGTCAGCTGCTGACCTCTTAGGAAGCATTTAACAAACCACAGGCAGACAAGGACTTGTGGTAAGTACTGTCTTTGAAAAGTTGGCTACAAGAAAAACGCTTATGTTCTCTGGTCCTGATGAGTTTTAAGTGCTTCTTACTCTTAGTCTATACAAGGCAGCCTCTCTCAACTCGCCTCTGTTGGATACCAAATGTTCTCCTGCATCACTCCCCCTCACCGACTGTTGCAGAATGCAAATTAACACGCATCAAAACAGGAAGGACTCGCTAAATTACCCCAAATGGAAACTTCTCAAAATGCACTGCCTTGGCTAGGCCAAGAGATTAGTTATGCTCTTCTTCAAAGAGCAAAATTTAAAAACCCATGTTTCTCTGATTAAGAAAGTTATAGTTACCAACAAATCGTTTCTTTCCAGCCAGATCAAATTCTTCTTCAGGAAAGGAACTGATGGTGCCTTCTTCTGGGATGACCCTTGGTGTGGCAGCGGTGGTCGAGGGCTTGGTGGTGGCCGGTGGCCTGGAGGTCTCAAATTCATAATCTGAAATGATATGAAGGCTTTGTAATTGGGCACTGCCAGAAAAGGGGCACTGTCTGCAGTAAACGATACCTTCTTGGGATTCAACTGTAGACAAAAGACACACACACACACACACACACACACACACACACACACACACACACACACACACACCCTAAAACAAATGCTATGCTGAAACAGACTGTTTCTACTAAAATGTTATTTCTTCCCATTTCAGACCCCTGCAGAAAAGCAGCTGCAGATAGAGGGAGGGAGAAAAGAAGCACTTATGACCAGAAAAATGAGGTCTTAGAATCAGAGCGGAGAGGACCTTAAATTCCAGTCCCGCTCATGGCCTTGTTCCAAAGACATTCTCTACCTATGTCATTTCCCCTTTTAGAGACTTAAAAGGTCATATCAGAAAATAAACTTGAATTCTTTTCTTAAAAATCTATCTTCTGCATATGGTCTATTTTTCTGGGAGGAAGGCGGGATTAATTCTGCTAAGAAAACGAATCTTTTAACATTTGAAAAAAAATACAGTTCTGCTCCCTTTTCACACTGTTCAGAGATAATCAGAAAGATGCTTAGTATGTTCAAAAGTGCCAAGAAATCTTCCTTTGTTTACTGATATCTGTTGTTTTAAGTCAGTTTTTGTGTAAAAACCCTTGGATTAAGCCACTACATCAAGCTGTATTATGAATAAAGCATCAAAGGTGACATTACTCTCATAGTTGTGATTTAAGACAATTGGTGCTATGAATAGTAGCAGAAAAGGTGAAACACAAAAGTGAGAATCCTAAGGCCCTGTGTCAAAAGCCCAGTACCGGGTACAGACAAGTTTCCTACGAGAACTAATTCAACTGCAGAGGCAACTTATAAAACACACAAAATGATCACAGGGTCCTAAGTAGAATAACATTAGCTACTTGACTGACCCAGATGCTGTTCAAGGCCCTTCCTTCCTTCCTTTTCCCTCCTTCTTTCCTCCTTCTTTCCTTCTCTTTTCTTTCCTTTCTTTCCTTCCTTCCTTCCTGTCAGAGGTTTCAATCTGTCACCCAGCTAGAGTGCAGTGGCATGATAACGGCTCACCAGACCCTCAACTTCCTGGGCTCTGGCAATCCTTCTGCCTCAGTCTCCAGAATAGCAGGGACTACAAGCACGTGCCACCATGTCCCGCTAATTTTTTGACTTTTTTAAAATATGGTTTATTTATTAAAAGTAAATTAGAGAGAAAGAGGTGATTCACCTCCCCAAAGTAGGGAAGGGGGTCAAAAGTTAAGAAAACATGGCCTGGCCTTCAAAGAGCACGTGGCCACACCATAGCTCAGCAAGGCAATAGCCAAATTTTTTGTTTTTCCCAGAAAGCAGGATTTATTGAGAGGACAGAAAAGCTCCCACAGTGGGAGGGGACCCAAAGGGGTTGCCCAATTTTTTGGTTTTTTATAGAGACGAGGTTTCGCTATATTGCCTAGGTTGGTCTCGACCTCCCGGGCTCAAACAATCCTCCTGCCTCCACCTCCCAAAGTACTGGGATTACAGATGTGAGCCGCCATGCTTGGCGGCACTTTAAATTCTTAATCTTATATACTTACCCTGACTTGAGAAGATTCGATGATAGGAAACCAACACATCCGCAGCATTACATTTTTTATATATTTAGAAAAGGAGAGAAAAGGAAAGAGTGAGAGATGAACCAAGTGAGGAAGACAGGATATTTGTTAAACCAAGCAAGTTTTATAAATAAAGGTGGGAGGAGTGCCCAAATTGGCAGCTCCAGAATTTCTTGAGCAGAAGGAGGTCTGAGAGGGAGAGAAGGACAAGCAGAAGGGAGTAGTTGGGAAGGCGCACTTGCATACCGAACACACTTTTTCTTCAGACCAAATATGCTTTTGGGGGTGACTTGGAAGAGGGGGTACAACCACCCTTCCCTAAGCTGATCAGAGTTCTGAAGGAAACTGCAAAACACTCAGTAATTAAAATAAGATCCTCTGATGCAGAAAAGAAAGTCTCCAAAGCATTTCTGAAAAACCAGTTCGCACCTTCATCATAGACAACGTAGGCCTCTTCCGTGGGTGTTGCCTCATCCGTATCCAAACCTGAGAATTCCTCTAGTGAAGAAAGAGAGGAGAAGTGGTCACCAAACGCCCTGGCTTCCTTCTCAGTCACAACAATTCATTCACCAGGGACAGGTCACAGAAACAAGTAGTCAAGACCAGAGTCTCCACAGCTTTTTCAGAAGGAAAATCATCAGATTACTGATATGGGACCCAGCCTTTCTTCTGGGCTCAGGAAAGGGCAATTCAAATGCTCTCTCCAATTTAGGAGCAGACACGTCTCTCTTCTTTCTCAGGCTCACCAGCACCTGGAGAGCTCTCTCTGACCTCCCTCCCCACCTGTCCACAGCACTCCAGCTGCTGGCTGAGGGCTGAGAAAGGGCTCTGGCCTCTCACACCAAAATCCTGTGGTCAGCTGATCTCAGAAAGCAGTGAGGAGAGAAGAGAGTGGGCAGTTGGTGCTCAGGATGGTGACAAAAATTCCTTCATGTGTAAATGTCTCTGGTCATCAACCTTCATTCTCTCCACCTCTTCAATCTTGCCTCTGGAATATTCTAGAAGCAGGGTGCTTTCCCGCCTCTCCTACACCCCAGCTTGGCAAACAGCACCGATGCAAGTTCTCAGTGTTTCTCGACTTCCTTCTGACCTCCCACATTCTCTCACCAACTCAGAAGATAAATCTGTACTAATTAGACTTCTTTTTGTTTTTCATTTTTGTAGAGACGGGGTCTTACTATGTTTCCTGGGGTGGTCTTGAACTCCTGGCCTCAAGCAATCCTGTCGCCTTGGCCTCCCAAAGTGCTGAGATTACAGGCATGAGCCACTGAGCTGGGTTCAGATTTCTTAATTTGCATATGAAGTTTAGAAAAAAATATGTCAATGATTACAAATTTATCTTTACAGACAGGTTGGGCTTTACTAACCACGATATCTATTATGACTATGGAATTATACTTTAAATGCAATTTATAGAATTTTATATGTGATTTTTGGATGTCTTCCAGGAAGCCCCAGTTAGAAGAACTGTTATTAAAATTCTTGTAATGACTGACTTGATATTATAAACATGAGTAACATATGGTCAAGAAAGGTAAGTGATTTAAGTAAACCAAGGCATTTTCTCCTCTGCTATCTGGTTAGTTTAAGCAGAAGTTTTTTTGAGAAGGTGTGATGGGATCATTTACTTCTCTACATGGAGGATATAGATATAGCTTTAAAAGGGAGACTAACTCGCTGTGGTTGATAAAATCTTGAGGCAAAATATTTTATAACTCAAAAACTCAAAGAAATTCCTTCCCTCCTTTTGACTTGAAGACTACAGCAATTACATAGACCCTCTAAATTCAGTGCACTCTTAAAGGGGGGAGGGGAAACAGCAGGAAGGGGTAACTTTGATTTATTAGATGTCTAAATATATATTGTTGGAGTTAATCTTCCAACAAATCCTTGAGATACATTGGGCTTATAATACCTACTTCACAGCCAAGGACACCAAGGCTCTGAGAGGATTTATAATGTGCCTGGTGACACACAGATAGTCAATGACAGCAAAAAACAGAATTTAAACTTCAAGCCCTCTGGCTACAAAGACTATGTACTTTTCACTTCAAAAAACTGCCTCCACTGTTTGAGTTGAACTAACCAATCAAGTTCTTTGTAAGCCTTAAGGTGCTCTATTAGAATTCCACAGTGGAATGAAGAGGAAATGGAAGTAGTTAAGTATACAGCGCCGAAGTAACTATTGTATGAGCCTTTTTTGAGCCTAGTTTTTGCATGTTATATCGCAAAAACAAATTCTGCCCACAGAGGACAGGGCAACCTCGACGAGCCTGTCCAGCCCTTCTGGTATTACAGTAAGAAGCCCCTAGCACCCATTCAGAAGCTCGAGAGATGTCCTTGAGGCATGTGGGTTCTGATGGGGCCAATGAACGTTAACAAGAGAGAAGTTGTTAACTAGTCACTCATTTAGGGGAGGGATAGCCATTTCATGAAAAGTTATTAAACACAGTTTTTCCTTCGGTTATTCCAACGTCAATATGCCTAGATCCAAGACAAATGGCTTCTGGGCCAGTTCAAATCGGTTTTCAGGTTCACACCCTGTAAAGTTCGGGGTTATCTCCCCATTGTTTCCCATCCTACCCTTTTCTTTCCCTTGTCAATTTAACTTTTGGGAACAAACTCTTACTTTTCCTCATTATCGGTTCAGCTTCATTTCTTTTCATTACTATTTTTAGCCAGGTCAAAATGAATAAATCATTCAGTTTTTGCATCCCAGAGTGAACAAGAAAAGGAAAAATATATTATTTCCTTCGTTGAATCCTGTTAAGGTAATTCCTTGAGGTGCTGGAATACTCTAGTGCACGCAGCAGACCTCAGAAAACTGAAGTCCCTTCCTGAGATAAGTGACAGCTAAGGCCTCTGGCATAATGGCATAAGTCAACAACCTGTTGAGTAATTCAACTAAAGACCAGATAAACCCAGGCGTAATTCTTCTACAATAGCACTATCTTGACGCCAAGTAAAAAACCTTCCGGATGTAAATGTATTTAAAATTTTTCTAAAAGCTGACCACTTGAATTGGTACTACTTGAATACCATTTTGAACCAGGTGGAACTTGTGGAGGAACATGAAGCCCAGTTAGGCCAGCATCAATTGGGTAAATTTGGGAAATTATATTAAGGAAAGGTACCTTAAGATTGAAATCTACAAATCTACAAAGAAACTTATTGATAACAGCAGGAAGCAGCAAAGGCTGGACGACCAGCTGTAAAACATTGGCTGTTGGTTCTGCAGCCCACAAAGAAAGTAGTTAAGACTTACTGTTGGTTCCTAGTTACCCAACAAACAAAAAGGCAGTAAACTATGCTCTTAACTGACCTTATCTTTTTTTTTTCTGAGTTGGAGTATCAGTCGCCCAGGCTGGAGTGCAGTGGCACACTCACCGTCACCCCAGTGTCGACCTGCTGGGCTCCAGCAATCCTTCCGCTTCAGCCTTCCAAGTAACTGGAACTACAGGTGTGCGCTACCACACCTGGCTAATTTTTTAAAAATTTATTGTACAGATAAGGTCTTGCTAAGTTACCTGGGCTGGTCTCAAACCCGCAGGCTCAGGCAATCCACTCGCCTTGGCTTCCCAAAGTGCTGGGACTATAGGCTGAGCCACTGAGCCCGACCCTAATCTTATCTTAAAGAAACAAAATACCACCATCAATCAGCCACTTCACAAACTTCTGGAAATTTCCTTTTGCAGACCATTCTCAAAGATGATTCCTCCTGGCCCACACTGGACCCCGTATAAAAACATCTCTCTAGCTCATGCCCCTTGCAGGCAACAGACAGCAGGCACTCTCACGGCTGTCCTGCCCATTGAGTCCTTTACAACAGATCTTCCCTTGAATAAATCCACCTTTCTTAATTCACAACTGTCTTGGTGGATACTTTCACCCCCTATGACTCTGGCCATACCTAGCCTGCCTGCCACACTTGGCATTTGGTGACCTGTATGGGGACCTCTCCTAAGGGGACCTCTGTCCCACTCTTCTCCCAACTCAAGGCTTTTGGTGGACTACATCCAAGACCAGATCCCGATGGTTCCTGGCCAAGGCTACTCCACGGTGGACAAAAAGTCTCAGATGATAGGTGTCAGACTGCTATTGCCTGATCAAGTGAGAGGCAGGAATTTGCTTTCCTTTTTTTGTCTTCCAGTAGACACTCGCTAGTAACTCTGGCAACTGACAGCTTCTGGCCAGAGCACTCCCTGATGTGGCTTAAAGACCAGAGGGTGAACAAGCTTGACTGCCTTGCCCAGAAGTGAGGGAAGGCTCTCTCCTACCTCTCCTAGTCGAGAGGTCCCTAATTCCAACATGTGGCACAGCTGACAGGTGGACACTTGTCCAGCGCAAACCCACACATGCTTAGAGAGACTATATATTTTCTCTCTCCTTGCAAATATCCTGCAAGAACAGCCAGTCTTCCTACTCTGGACTCCGTCAAACCTAATAATCCCAGCCAGCACCAAATTGGTGAGTCTCCCTAAATCCTCTTTCCTGACCTGGTCCAATCACTCAGCATCATTAGCTCTAGGATGCAAGTATCTTGGCCCCCAGTCGGAATCCCTCTCTATCAGGTGGGATGCCCCTGTAGAGAGAGAAGTAGTGTCCCTTCGTGGGTATCAGAGAGCTCTTCCAATAGCTGGAATGCCCCTTTGGAGACTGTAGAGGAATGCCCCCAAGAGGAATTACATGTTGAGTACTTATGGGTGACTTTTCCCCATCTCCATTCCCTCAGACTCGCCCCTGGGCTGCATTTCAAAACATTGGAATAAATTTGGTCCTCATGCTGTCAAAAAGAAACATCTAATTTTCTTATACAATAAAGTATGGCCTTCTCACTGGCTTCCAGACCAAGGGTCTTGGCCTTTGCCTGGAACTTTAGGCTCAAACACCATTTTCCAGTTTGACCTCTTCTGCCATAATCTCCTAAATGGTCTGAGGTTCCTTATGTTCAGGCTTTTGTAACTCTCTCTGGATCCTGATCTCCGCCAAGATTGCCAGCTGTATTTAGCCAAATTTTTGAACCCTATTAATTCTCCTGATATTCTGGCCATCCATTTTATTAGCCCGGCCTCCCCAGCCATTAGACAGAAACTCAGACCAGATGAAGGGCCACAAACCCCTTTCCCAACACTATTAAGCATAACCTTCAAGGTCTTCCACAAGTGGGAGGAGGTCCGGAAGACTGAAAAGGAAATACAGCAAAGAGAAAGAGACAGGTGGCAAGCCCAATATATGTCAGCTGCTACTGTCAGCTCTCTACCTATACCAGGACCCCAGGCACAGTCATTAATTGCAGGACCTACACCTATATAGCTGCTCTTAAGCTAAAGGAGGCACCGCTCACCTGCTACCGTTGTGGCCAACAAGGGCATGTGAGTTGTAACTGTTTCCAGAGGAAACTGCCACACACAGCAGTTCATTCAAATTATAAATTTAAAAGAGGTTACCCATGAGAAAGGCAAAGGAGAAAAACCAGTAAGCAGAAAAGAAATGTGAAGAATGTTCTTGGTATGGAAATGTATTTCTGGTAAGGAAGGAGATAAAGGAAGAAACATAATTTTG